GTTCCGAATCGTGCTCCCGCTGCAGCGCGGGCCTCATTTTCGGATCGGTGTTTGGCCTCCGTCGTTCAGGATGGCGTTCTCGCCCCAGCGCGGGCCTCTTTCTCGCGCGCCATCCGCCCGCCACCACCGCGCCGCACCACCACCACCACCACCACCACCACCACCACCACCACCACCACCACCACCACCACCACCACACCACCACCAGCACCACCACCACACCACCTCACCACCACCACAACCAGTCACCCAGCAAACCACGCACACACTCAACGCACGCACGCACGCGCACCACCACCCACTACGCACGCGCGCGCGGAGCCACAGGTCCGCTACGACACGCGTCCGCGGATAGAGAAAATCAGCGCCACGGTAAGGGATGGGAGGGAGGGGTAGGACGTCAGCTATGACGCGAGCGCACCTAGCTTGCCCCCCTCCCCCTCCCTTCCCCCCCCCGCCCCGCCAGTCCTTGATGACGTTCAGGTCCCGCGCGCGCTCCTCGGGCGCGAGCGGCGCGAGCGGCAGGACAACATAGAGGGAGCGCACACGGCCCCGCCAGGCACACGCCGGTCGTTGAGAGCAGGCGTTCCTGGATTCCCAGCGCCCCAATCTACCTCAAACGCCGTGCGACTTCAAGAATCGGCATGCTCTTGCTGCGCTTCGTGATTCTCTGGGAGGGCCTGGACCCAATCCACGCCATGCGCCTTCCTACTGCTTCCGACCGGGGGGGGACGGAGGGAGCGAGGGAGACACGGTGCAGGGGCGGAGCCGGAGCGGGAGCGAACGAGAAGAGAGCACGAAGCACACCTGACGGGAGGGGGAGGGGGAGAGAACAAGTGGAGGCGCGGGAGGCCGTACACGTCGGTCGGAAGAAGTAGGTAGAAACATGAAGTAGGAAGGCGGATAAAGTGGATTGGGTCCAGGCCCTCCCAGGGAATAACAAAACACAGCAAACGCGTGCCGATTCTTAAAGTAGGAAGGCGCTTGAAGTAGATTGGGATCTGGGAATCCAAAAGTACCTACTTCAACGACCGGCGTGTACGCTGTTTGTGCACCTGAGGGTGCCGACCCAGGGATCCACTCCGACCTCCAACAGAGCGCCAACGACGGTTTCAAAAAAGGGTACTTCACCAGAGTATGCATCCATGGAGTGCATATTGGGCACCCTGCTCAAGTGGCACAGTAGTCTAGATGGGCAGCATGGCAACACCTGCGCCTGACCTCAGCGTGCAGATTCTGCATCTGCCATCTGCTGCGAAGGTGATCTCGTCCGATCGATCGTCTTCGGATGTCCTGCGCGTGCCACGCCTCCTGAGCCTCCTACCGTGCGGTAACCACTGCGTGTCGGGGGCGTCCGAGAGAAGCTGGGGCTGCCCCAAGGGGGGGTGGGGGTCGCAGATCATGGCCCGAGGCGTGTGCGCGGCCCACGGGGGGGGGGCTAGGGGACGCATGCGACCGAGAAGAGGCGCCGTGAAGCCTGGCATCATGGCCCACGCCATGAGCTCCACCCCACTCGCCATCACGCCCCTCTCGGCCAAGCCCCGAGAAGGGAACGTCCTCCGGGTCCCAGATGTGATGTGTCGGGACTTCTGGGGTCCTGGGCGCTCCCGGGCACGCCTGGCGAGCCCCGCGCGGCGCTTCGCTGGGCCTCGTGGGCGTTGTTGGAGGCCGCGCCCCCCCGCATGCCCCAGAGTGGCCAGGCAGAGGGAAACAAGTAGCGGCCACTCCCTTGCTCCCCTAGACCCCCAAAGTTGGCAATGCGCAAGGAAACTTCCGGTCAAAGTGCAACTCCTTCAACCTACCGCCAACACTGATCATTCGGAGGGGGGCATTGACAGATGTATGTGGCACGCGTGTTCGCTACTTTCCTCCGAGGCCTGTCCCAGGAGTACGCGCTGGACCTCTCGTCGGGGACTCTCGGGCTGTGTCGGAGGCCCCGGGGCTGGGGCCAGCCCGGGAGGCCGACAGCATCAGACCCCGCAGATCGGTTTGCGCACTGTGCCTCAGCACTCCTGGCGCTTCGGCCTCAAGAGGGTCCAGGACGGTCCGACAGGTCTGCAGGGTCGCATCAAGGTGGCACCCACTGCCACCAGGAGGGTGAGAACCCCAAGAGGTCCCCAAGAAGGGGCCAAAGAGGGAGAACTCGAAATGAGAGCTGCAGCCCTCCGCCCACAGACGGCCCCAGAGACCAAAGGACCCCCCCAGAGGCGCCACGAGGCATCCAAGAGGTCTCCTGCCCATGGCCCAGGAACAAAATGGCGGGATGGGCCGAAGGCCACTAGATCCGCCGCCCCTGCTGATGTATCACAGGGGTGCCTGGCGTGCTGAGGCTCTGGTTGTTTTCGGTTCTTTTTGAGACTCCCCCTGGGGAGTCGGCCCAACGCGCCGGCCACCCGGAAAGCTCAAACTTAGCCTCTCGTCAGCTGTTCCGCGTAAGACAGCCTCAAGATGGCCTCCGAGACGGCCAAGATGGCCTCCCAGATGCCCAACATGGTCCCAAGAGAGCCCAAGATAGCCCCAAGATGGCGTCCAAGATGGCCCCAAGCTGCCTCCAGCGCCGCCCATATGATCCCAGGGAACCCCAGATGTCCAAGAAGCACTCACTCAAGAGGCCCCCAAGACGACCCAAGAGGCATCCAAGAGGTCCTCCACGAAGGCCCCAAGAGGTCAAAATCATTCATGTCTGGTGCCCCCAAAAAATGTTTAAAGGAATTCCCATGTTAAGCTTCAAAATGGCTGGCCGAGGGCCCATGAAGGCCAAAATGGCCCTGAGTATCGCACAAGAGGCCTCGAAGATGGCTCCAGGGCTGCCCAAGCGGCCCCCAACAGGGCTTCAAGAGGGCCACTGGATGCCCCAAGAGGCGTCCAAGACGCCCAAGATGGCCTCCAAGACAGCTCCTCAGCGCTTCAACAGAGCCCCAGATATTAGCAAAATGTTTCCAAGACGGCCCACGATGCAGCCTAGACGGCCTAAGTTGGCCTCCAGGTGGCCCAAGACGGCCCAAGAGGCCCCCAAGAGGCCCCCAAGAGGCCCCCAAGAGGCCCCCAAGAGGCCCCAACGACAGCCCAACAGGCCTCCAAACGATCCTTCAGGAAGGCCTGAAGAGACCGAACTCATTGATGTTCTATGGGCATCTGCATTTGTTTGGCATTTGCTCTGTTGTTGCCATCCGAAGGCCCAAAACGGCCCAAAGGGTCTCCAAGATCATCCTAACATCACCCACGGAGCCTACATGGTGGCCAAAGAGGCCCCCAAGACGGCCACAAGAGGGACGGTCCAAGATGCCCCCGAGACGCTCAAGATGGCCTCCGGTAGGGCCAAGATGGGCCCAAGAGAGCCTAAGATAACCACAAGGTGCCTCCAAGGTGGCCCAAAATGTAGCTCAGACGGCCTACGATGGCCTCCAAATGGCCAAGACGGCCCAACAGGCTTCCAAGATGTCCTCCAGGAAGGTCCGAAGAGGTGACAGACACTCAATGATGTTCCTTAGGTTGTTGACATACTTTGACGTTTCCTCATGTTCAGCGCTCGCAAAGCCCACGACAGCCCCAACGGCCACCCAGATGGCTCCAAGAGCGCCCAAGAGGCCTCCGAGATGCCCCCCTGATGGCCCAAGAGGCTCCCAAGACGAGCCCAAGAGGGCCCAGGAGACCTTCAATGCGCCCAAGATGGTCTCCAGCACAGCCCTGCAGCACCCCAACAAGACCCCAAGGCGGCCAAGAGAGGCCCACAAGACGGCGTCCGACGGCGTCAGACGGGCCAGGAACGCTTTCAGACGGCCAACAAAAATCCCAAGGAGCGGTCAAAGGCCCCCAAGAAGCCCAAGGAAGCCCCCAAGAGGCCTTCAAGAGCCCCCCAGGAGGCCACAAGAGTGCCCAGAGATGCTCCCAAGAGGCCACTTCCTCCTCCTCTCCTCATCCTCCTCATCCTCCTCCTCCTCCTTCTCCTTTTCCCTCCCTCTCCTCCACATCTTGTTTATTCCCCTCGTGTTCCCCGAAGTGTTCTCCGAACGGCCGTGGGAACACATAGTGGGATAGCTTGGTCGAGCTCTGGCCGCAACGCTCGGCCCCACAGCCTTTTTCAAAAGGCAGGGGGCGGCGGTGAATCGCCGTAGGCGTCTTCGATCCAAGGCCCCCATTTGCTTCTCGCCGCAGCTGCCAGTCCACGGCCGTCAGACCTAATGGTTCCCCCCGGCAGGCCGAGCGCAAGCGTGCGATGGTACAGGAGGGAAGGGGGTCGCAGAGAAGCGCGGTCCTGAACCGTCTGCTCCCGGGGAGGCAACTCCTGGAGGATCTTCGCGAGAGCTGTCAAAAAGGGACTGTCGGCCTGACTAAGGTTGGGTCGGGCGTGTCCTCCGACATGCGGAGTTTGGAAGAGAAGTCATACATAGTCAAAGCATATGCAGAGACTACCCAGAAGCACTCAAAGCATCGTCCACCTTCTGTTGTTTTACTATGCTTTGAGATTCCTCCTGTAGAGAGACAGGCCAGACTTAAGACTAAGGGGCCGCTGAAACGGATCAGCCCAAGTGAAGCCCAAGGTCAAGCCTGGATTGAGCCAGATCAGGCGGGATGATAGCGGACTGTACTGGAGTACAGTCGGGGCCCTTCCACAAGAAACCTTCCACAAGAAACCCAACCCTGAGACCCCAGGACGTCCCTGGATGTTTGGCGTGGGGACGTCACCCTTTCCACAGCAAAACCGTCTAACCCCCAGACACCCAGGGCACCCTGGAGGCAAGCAGGGTGTTTCTAGGCATGGGCCTCAACTGCAGACTGAGCCAGATCGGGCGGGATGCAAGCGGACTGCACTGGAGTAGGCCAGCCTTCGACCGCGAGTTACCATTCCGGCGCCGATGCTGAATCCAACCTCCCAGGAGAGGAATCCCAGGCAGCCTGCCCCCGTCGCTCAGGCCGCTAGGGGCTCTGAGAAGAGCTGCGGGAAGATCAGGTGGCGGGCGGTGGCCACCAGGTGGCCGACCCGCTTGGCCGCGTGCTGCAGGAGCGCCGACGGGAACGAGGCCTCGGTGGCCTTCAGCGCGGCGCACAGGTGCTCGTCGGGAGCGGCCAAGAGGGGGGTGTCCAAGAGGGGGGGGTGCAAATCATGACGGGCGGCATGTGCGCGGCCCAGCGGGGGGGCCAGGGACGTAATGAAACAAGATGAGGCGCCATGAAATCTGAGGAGATATCATGGCCCCAGACGTGATATCCACCCCCCTCTAGTCATCACCCCCCTCTCTGCCGCCCCCGAGCTCGGCGGGGGGCAGCGGGTCCAGGCCCTGGGAGCCCAGGCCCGGTCCGTCGCTCTGCCAGGTGATGCGCAGGACCTGCCGCGCGAAGTCCTCCAGCGCCCGCTCCGCGCGCAGCGCCAGCTCCGCGGTGCCCGCGGCCTCCGCGGCCGGCGCCCGCGCCCCCGCACGAGCTCGGCGGGTGCCCTCGCAGGCCCCGTCGATGGCGTCCTGCAGGTCCTCCAGCGTCGCTATGCTGCCGCTGCACGCCCTCAGCAGCACCGCGCGCAGCCTCGCACGAGCGGCGCGCACGGATCTGTGCCCCGCGCCCTCGAGGTCTGGCTTCCGGGGCGCGATCCCGCGGATATGCGGACGCAGGGGTGCTTTCCGCGCAGGGCATCCGCGAAAAGACGTCCCGCGTCCGCAGGGTTGCGGACCCTGGGGCCCAGCCCGTGAGGCCGCAGCTGCGGATACGGCAGGTTCGCGACGCCTCGACCCCAGCGTTGGTTTCTGGCACCGCTCGGATCGTTCGGCCTCGATAGTTCGGTGGATGCTCGATCCCCAGATCGTTCCCTTGCCGTCGCTCGGACGTCCATTTCCCGTGCATTTGTCCGCGTCGTGCGTGCCTGTTCTGCTCGATGGTCCAGGATGGTCCTCGACGGTTCTCGCCGAGAAAAAATGCACACGTCCAAGCGATGCCAAGTTCCATATTCGCAGACTCTGGGGCCACCCGCGGCGTTCAACCTTGAACTGACCACCTACCAGACCACCCCAACCCAACCCGAAGACCCGAATTTCGGGTTGGGGGGGTAAGGGTTCCACGTGTGGTTTTTCGATGTTTCCCGACCCCCCCCCACTGGAAATCGAGGGTAAATTCGAGCCTTCGGGTTGGGTTGGGGTGGTTTGGTGGGTGGTGATGAACGTCCGCGCTGGGGTCGCGGCCGCGTCGGCACGACATGCGCGTCGACAGAAGCGCGCCCCGTGTCCGCGGGGTTCCAGCCCAGGGGCCAGGCCTGGCCCGGCTCGCGGATGCGGACTTGTTTCTCGCCCACGAGGGGAGGAGGGAGCGGGGAGGAGAGGGCGGGGGAGGGGAAGAGAAAGGTGGGGGAAGGAGAGGAGGAGCAGCGAGAGGAAGGAAGGGCAGCGAGAGGAGGAGGAGGAGCAGCGAGAGGAGGAGGAGGCGGAGGAGGAGGAGGAGGCACACGAGCCTTAGCAGGCATGCCAGGTCCCCGGCTGCCCGCTGGAGCCGCGCGACGACCTCGGCCACCGGGGCGGCCCGCAGCACGTCGTTGGACTGGCCGCCACGGAGGACGGCGCCGGCCTCGACGAGGCCGGCCAGCCTCTGCAGGTCGGCTTCGCCCATGGAGTCGTGGAAGCAGACCACGTGCAGCAGGTGCATCTGGGATCGCTTCGCAACAAAAATGATTCGCGGTAACTAGAGGAAAACAACACTACCTCGCTTTTGACCACCCTCGCTTCCAAGAAATACCAAACGATGCCAAACTACGGCCTGTACTGGTCAGGCCGCTTGACGAGGAGGCGCGTGGTATGACTTGGTTTTGCCTGGAAGCGAAACCGGGGTTTGTAATTCACGCTCTGAGTAACGCCCGTGACTGGCGGCGCGCAAAAGGGGGTAGGGGGAGGGGGGAAGGCTTCTCAGAAGCACCCCTGCTTCTTAGAAGGCGCCGGCCTTACGTCTACAGAGAAGGCCCGCGCCTTCTAAGAAGCATGCTTCTAAGAAGCCTTCCCCCCTCCCCCTACCCCCCTCTGCGCGTTGCCGACGTGACCGGCCCCGCCCCCCCTCCTCCACGCCCCGCTGGTCACGCCACGAATCGCGCCGGCGCCGTGTGGGAACAAGCGAGATGCTGGGCATTCCCCAAAAGTGTGCTGGCGCGCATCGTGACGTGCCCGGCCCCCGCCCCCCCATCGGGTCACGCCCGCTGCCGCCAGGGCACCTGGAGATCGTGTGTCTTACTTTCCGGTGATAGCCCAGGTCATCCGATGGGAGGAAGGGAGGAGGTGATGGCCGATAACCTAGCCGTTTCGCTTTGGGCAGCCCTCAGGATGCCCGCGCGCACATGTTTCCGTACCCCCTTCGGATCTGCGCAACCGACAAGGTCATATTATCCCAGGGGGGGGAGGGGCGGGCAGGCCCGATTACCAGGGTTATTGCCGGACCCTCAGAAATCCTGCACGGGCCAGTCCGTGTGAGGCCTGCTGAAGAGGTCCACGCGCGCGGCCAGCATATCGATGACGTACAGCCACGTCTCGCGCGTCTCGTCCTTCTCCGTGGGTTGCGTCCAGTCCTGCACGACGTTGGCCGCGGCATCCTCCAAGAGTTTCCAAGGGCTCTCCCCGTTGCTGAGCTCGGTCAGGATGTTCGGCCACTCCGAAGGGTGTGGTTTACAACGGGTGTGGTTTGCAAGCGGCACCCTCGGGGGCACCTTAGGTGGCGGGCGGGGACCTCGATAGAGCTCTCCGCCGCGCTCCGAGGATACCCGACGAGGACAGTGTCGTGCTCCGCGGGCCCCAACGGTGCCGATCGCAAACCACACCCCGGCGTCACCATACAGGGCAGTTTTTAATACATCGGATGTTGAGACCAAAAAAAACTGATTTTAAATACAGGATTAATTTAGGAAACAAATTGTGCATGCACTCTTCGTGGTTTTTAATACTAAATCCCTGCATTTGTAATACATGATCCGCACGCGGAGCATGCATCAAAAACGACACCGTACCCTTTCTGGTCGCCGAGATGTGCTCTCGCACCGCGGGGGCGAAGTCCTCGAGCCACACGGAGTCGACCTCCGCCAGCCACGACGGCAGGGGCTGCGCCCCCGCGTGCGCCATCCAGCGCACGGGCCTGCCCCGGCTGCCCCTGCCCCCCGGCCTGCCCCCGCGCAGACGCCCGGCTGGCGCCTCGAGCCGAGAGTGATCTCCATGAGGTCTCGGGCAGCTTCTGGGGCTCGAGAGGAGGAGGAGGAGGAGGAGGAGGAGGAGGAGGAGGAGGAGGAGGAGGAGGAGCAGGAGGAGGAGGAGGAGGAGTAGGAGGAGGGGAGGGGGAGGAGGGGGGGGAGGGGTAGGAGAAGGAGGCCCCGTCGGGGGCCTCTGTGCCTGGGGCGGCGAGGGCCACCGAGGGCCCCAGGTTCTCTGAGCGCGTGCAGCCCATACTCGCCGGCCTTGAGGATCGCTCCAGCACGCCGCAGTGCCTCCCAAGGCTCCCAGTCTGAAGCATATCCCGATCCCTGTCTTTGGCATCGGTTCTGAGGGCACATCCCTAATTAAGATTGTCCTGGCTTGTTGCTCGCCGATCTTAGGGATAGGGATAAGATCGAGGCTGGCTACAAAGGGCACCCCCAGATTCGGGGATCTTCTGAACCCGGTCAATCCAGACCCGGGTCAGCAGGAAACCAAAAACAGCAATGCAGGAACCAAAAAACTGCGACGCGGGTCCTCGCAAACCCGGGCCGGCCAATAGGCGCGGCCGCCTCGCGGCCACGAGCGGCTCCCTAACCCGGGGCAGCCAGAGGGGGTCCTCGCAGGATCCTGCAGGATCTGGCGCCCTGGCTGACCCCCCGTTTGCGATCGACCCCCGTCTCAAGGCTCCCGACAGATGCTCCACACGGCTCCACCGGCTGGCCACAGCCGGGCGACATCGTACCCCGGGGCCCCTCCCCGCGCCGCCGGTTCGGCCACAGCCCTGCGTGCCTGGCCCCCGTGGCTGCAGGCACGAGCCGACGAGTCGCACAGCGGAGGCGCCGTGCCGCAGGGGGAGCAGGAACAGAGGCCAGGAGGGGAGGAGCAGCAGCAGCGGCACCCGCAGCGGCAGATGCAGGAGGTCCCGTCCTCCTCCTGCTGCCTCCTCCCTCCTCGCAGATGCAGGAGGAGGTCCCGTCCTCCTCCTCCTGCTCCCTCCTCCCTCCTCCCTCCTCCCTCCTCCCCCCGCCCTCCGATCCAAGCGTAGCACTACACTTTCGGGCCCCAGGGACCCTCGCGGAACGGCCTGGCTCGAGAAAGGACGCCTGAGACTTGGGCCGAAGGAACTGGATTCTGATGGTACTTTTCTATGTTTGTCTCGCGACGCCGGATGCGAGGGAGTGGCTGTTATTAGAGCGCACGCAAAAAGGTGCCACCCTGATTCTACAACAACGAACAGACAACACGCAAAGCCAATCTGCTCCCGGCTAGGAGGGGAGAGACCCTGAACGACACAACAAATCCGCCAGCCCCCTTGTGGGGCCACCAAGCTGTAGGACGAAGGTTTGCTGTTCCCTGCGCCAGTTTCAGCTTCCACTTTCCACTGTTACAGTTCTGGTTCTTGCTGCTTACTGTTCCTTGTTGATGGACCACGCGAGGATGGGGGAGCCGATCGAGAAGGAACCTAGCTACCACGCCCGAATCGGGTGCTCTGAATTCCTGGGGGGGGGGCGTGGGGCATGTAAAACTGCATAAAATTCGCGCCCCCCAGGCCATAAACCCTCATCAATTACACAGTAGTCGCGTCCCCGAGGCCATATACCTTTTGCGAATTATACCATATTCGCGTCCAACCTTCGAACAATACGCCATATTCGTGTCACCGACGTCATAAACCTTTGTAACTTACGCAATGCTTGCGTCCCCGAGGCTACAAACCCACGTAACTCACGCAATATTCGCGTCCCCGAAACCATAAACCCTTGTAAAGTACATGGGATTCGCGTCTCCGAAGCCATACATCTACCTAAATGACGCAATGTTTGCGACCCCGAAGCCATACACCTTAGTACATTACACAATAATCGCGTGTCCGAAGCCATACACCCTTGTAAATCACTCAACATTCGCATCACCGAAGCCATAAACCTGTGTACATTACACTATGTGCGAGCCCGAAGCCATACACCCTTGTAACTTACGCGCAATTCACGTATCCAAAGCCACAACCCCTCGAAACACCGAATTCAACAATATTATCAACAACTCAATTTGTCTTCCCGATTACTCACCGTCTTCGCGTGAAGTCCCGACGCTGCTTCACGGCGGCGCTCAGGCCTCATGATTTCGCTCCTGCATGGCCCATTATCCGACAGAGGGGGCCGGCGGCAGGGGGCGAAGCCCTTACGGATATTTGATAGACTATTCCATTAGAGCGTCTTGAAGGCGGACCTTCAGTCGCCGTGGCGCTATAATATGAAAACAACCTATTCTGAGACTAGCGCAGCGACGCCTGCATAAGAATATGCAAGTACTGCGCCGTGAAACTAGATCATGGCGCCATCTAGGCCTGCTGTATACCTGTGACATTCAACGGAAGCCAGCGCTGTGTCATCCAGACGGCGAAAATCATGTCAGAGAAAGAGCGGATGCCAAAAGGGAGGCCTGAAGAGGAACCATTGTCAGCACAAACGCGCGGTCTCTGGGCCCGGGAAAGAGATGTTCAAGCTTCAATCCGTGCCAACGGTTCTCGCGTTGCGCCGCGTAACCGCCGCACTGCCAGCTTATCTGTTCAGGGTGGGAAGTGGGCGCCTGGACATATTGCCAAGCCCAGCTTCTCAAACGCAAGGTGCCCTTAAGTAGTTTACCCTGTTA